AAAAAAAAAACCTATAAAGTTTTTAAACACCAGTATTATTGGTATCCTGATCTAAATAAAAGCAGATACTGTGATGTTAATTTAAAAAAAGGTAAAGCATACATACTATGCTGCATGTGTGATGGTGAAGGGCCCTCATCACAAGAATCTTCACCTGATTCTCCAATAACACACAGGTTGTCATTAGAATGAAAATGTGCCTAAGTATATTATACTTCATATGAAAAATGAATTGTTAAGACATACCAATAGGTCCCGGCTGGCTATAAGAGGCTCCCACACCACTATCCCCCTGTGGATGGCCTGCAAGAACCTCAGCACTGGACACACCTGTAGCAATACAGAGATTTTATCAGTTCATTATAATTCAAATTGTCACATTTAGGCTTTTCACACCAGTATTGTTTTAAAAATTGTCTACACACTTAATGACAGTATATGACACTGTAGTATATTTGAAATATCTCAGTTCGAATCAATGCACATAATGTTTTAAAGAAGGTAAATTCATACATAACCTGATGTGTATGTAGTGTTGAGTGTGACTCTATAATAATACATAAGCTGTGAGCAGGAGACCTAGAGGCACCCTCTGCTGGAGGAAGGTGGACAGACCTCCAGATCCCAACAGATTCCCGTAGGCCTGTGGGGCGATATTTTCTCTTCAGTTTCTTAGCATTTTGCTTCAAAGTGCGCAGCTCTGCCTTAAACCAAGGACCCAGCTTTCTAATTTTAATGGTTTTCATTTTCAAAGGGGCTGCATCTGCAGTACGCAGAGAACTAGCAACCCCTTCAACAAAATCATCAACTTCTGAATGGAAATAAACCAAGCTTTGCACTCTGCAGTACTGCTCAGCAACACAGAGGAGAGAGAGAGTGAAACAGATTCTGTAAAGTTTATAACTGCACTATCTGATAATGATCTGCTAAAATGTATCCTTGTTTTGGTGGAGGAGAACTCTGTTAAAGTAATCCTAAAGGTTATTAAAAAGTGGTCAGAGAGGACAGGGTTGTAGGGAAATACTGTTATTTAATATATTATATTAATATATATATTAAGATCCAAAGTATGAAGATGAGAATGTGTGGGACTATTCACATTTTGAACAAAAGCCAATATAGGGTCTAAGACAGCATTAAAGGCTGCTCTTAAGGTATCGCCTTCAATGTCAGCATGGATGTTAAAATCTCCTACTATGTCAGTATTTAGTACCCAATCAGAGAGGAACTCACCCAAAATCTCAGAGTAAGGACCTGGTGGACGATACAAAGTTACAAAAATAACAGTTTTTCTTGCTTTGCAATTTGGATGAGATAAATTAAGGGTTAAATGTTCAAAAGAGTTGTAGGTATTAACTGTTTTGGGAGTAATCAGTAAGTCAGACTGGAAGATTGTTGCTACTCCTCCTCCTTGCCCAGAACGTCTGGGTATGTGAAAATTTAAATAGCATGAAGGAGTTGCCTCATTTATGCTTACATAATCCTCTTGGTGCAGCCAGATGTCTGTAAAGCAACATAAATCAATGTTATTATCACTGATCAAGTCATTAACTGGCAGACTTTTAGATGAAAGATCTTCTGTTAAACAGAATACATTTAATCATTTTAACTTTTTCCTAATTGGAGTTAATTTAATTTTAATTAGATTATCATACTCCTTTGGGAATCTTTGCTAATTTATTAGATTTTGGTTGTGGGCAAGACAGTGTCTGGGTGGATTGAAGAGTGGATAACAATAGATAAGCTGCAGAGACGTGTGTTAAACTACGACTCTGCTTCCTGGTCTGCACCCTGGTTGGTCAGGGTTTAGGAGGACTAATAAATGTGGCCAGATTCCTAGAAAGAACAGCTGCACCATCCAAAGTGGGATGGATGCCGTCTCTCCAAATCAGACCAGGCTTTCCCCAAATGGATTGCCAATTATTAATGTAGCCCACGTTGTTTTCAGGACACCACCTAGACAACCAGCGGTTGGATGACGACATGCGGCTAAACATGTCATCACTGGTCAGATCAGGGAGGGGACCAGAGAAAATTACAGAGTCCGACATTGTTTTGGCAAACTTACACACCGAAGCAACACTAATTTTAGTGACCTCTGATTGGCGTAACCGGGTGGCATTATGTCGCCCGTTCTGGCCCCTGGCAAACATTTGACTATGGTCTCTAATGCCACGTTTCTGACTATGGAGCTGCCAATCACCAGAGTGGGCTTCTCAGTGGGTGCGTCACTGAGTGGGGAAAATCAGTTAGAAATGTGAACGGGTTGGCTGTGACCAGTAGGCAGAGATCCACGACCATGCTTTCTGCGTACAGTTACCCAGTCCCCTGGCAGCTCAGGCACTTTTGGAGGAAAGCTATGTGGGGGGGCCTACTTTAAGTCCTGGATGTTCAACAGCGTGAAGCCTGGATTCTAACTCTGACACCCTCGCCTCCAAAGCTACAAAAATACTACACTTATTACACATACCATTATCATTAAAGAAGGCAGAGGAATAACTGACCATCTGACACAGAGAGCAGGAGAGAGGAGAGGAAGAAGGAAGAGTTGGAAAAGAGTCAAGGGAGGGAGAAAGAGAAGCCATAGCGATGATAAGCTAGCACTAACCTAGGCTAGCTACTGTTAAAACCATGTGAAGTGCTCAAGTAGAAAAGTGCAGCAGAACGCGTTATGTTTTAAAGGGGTTCTGGACAGTTTAAGTTACTTAGATACAGAGCTATCACAGAAAAAAATAACTTAATTTAGACAGAGATTTTCTGAACAGCTACAACACTGTTCAACAGTCCAAACAGGAAGTGAACACTATTCTTCTATTTGTCAGGCTTTGAGAGACAAACATTAAATGCACACTGACCCCAACCCAGTCTCATAGGAAAATGTACCCCCACTACGTTGGTCCACACTGCAAAACGTAGTGGAGGTACATTAATGGCCATTTTTTTGTGGTACTGTTACATTTCTTCTGCCTATACGCTTTCTATTGTTTTACGTCCTAGTCACGTGACTTTAAAGATTCCAGCTGGGACAAGAAAAAAATATATATAAAAAATATATATATATATATAT